CCCCAAAACCCCAAAACCCCAAAACCCCAAAACCCCAAATTATTAAACACTTCTCAAAAAGTCAAGTCTTCAACATATTACCTTATTTTCGTTCTAAATGCTTAAATTCTCATATAAAAGCCTACATTTTTTTTTGAGTGAACTCAGATGATACTATATAACATCAAATTTGGAGCAATTTTGAACAAATCTGGAGAAAGGAACAACTATTATTTTCTTTAATAGCTTGATTTCTAAACTAGAAATTATACTTTTGCATTGAAGCTGACTCTATTCTTCTTCTTGATTAAAACTATTGAACTGAGCAATTCTATTCTTAAAGGCTTCATTATTAATTTTGTAATGAGTTAGATAAAATTCGGAAGAGAACAAGAGGAAATTTCTAACAGATTTCTAACAAGGGTTCTTTGATGATCTATTAGTCAAGTAATTTTCTGTTATATCAACACTTAAACCCTCACCCAGATAGTTCTTTTATATTAACCAGCTGTTTCTTTGACACAATAATGCATTATGATATATCCAGGTGTTTGAATGTAATTGATTTTCCAAAAGTGTCGATATTTAGAGGCTTCGTAATGATTATAAAAACTATCTTTACAACAAGAAATAACTAAGCATATAGTTCAACGGGTCATCTTAGACAAGATCTGAGGAATAGCGGCCAAGCAGAGATCCTTGTATAGAAGAGTCACATGATCTTCTTCCTGACTTTATACATGGAAACTCTGGTTCGATTACAATGGGAGCTTTATTAATGAAACTAAAAGTCAAGAGTCAAGTTACTTGTAAGCCTTCCTCTTCTGCTCTTTCTTTATGCTATAGTATAGATATTATGCTTTACTTGTTCATGTAATTGGCCACATGGCTCTGAATCAGCCTCTCACGTTTAAGGTTTTTGACATGATCTTTCTTTTCACATACTTCTTGTTCCTTCTTTTTCTGTAAGTTTATCTTTTGTCTATAATTGGTCAAGTTTTAAAGAAGTAAATGTTGATGGCAATAACAGCTTATAAAAGGTATTCTAAATAAAGATAATAGGATTAGATCTACAGAGTAATTAAAGACTTTGGTTTCAAGCTTATTGAGTAGCAGTATATTGATTTCAAGGATCTTACGTATTGAAGTCAAAGTTTTCTTCAGCAACTATATTTTGTTAATATCAAATCTTACATTTTAGTAGAAAATTTGGATCTCTTTTGAACTCAGAATGGAACACTAATCTCTCAGCTTCGCTTGGTTCAGATATCATAGGGAGGCCAAACGTAGCACTTTTTATTCCAATTGGTTGTTTATTTGATCTAAAAAGTCTATCCAAAAATTACCAAATTAAAGAAGGCTTTGAGCCCGAAATATGAGGCTTTTGCTCAGGCACACTTCCACTTGTCCTTGCATGGGACCCCCTCTTAGATTCTTTTTGAGGGAATTTGCTGTGCATTATCTAAGCTATCTTACTAATTATTTTGAGAGAAGTTGTATTTCATGCCAACAACGATGCTTTCCCCAGTAGCTTGGGCAATCGGTACCAATTGTTTACTTGAATCCTTCCTCTTAATATTATTCCCTACCAGGCTGGAAATCTGTGTCTGAGATTTGCTCTTAATAAACCGTGGGATTGGCGTAGTATTATTAAAGCATTCTTTATAGTTCCCTAACTTTTAAGACCATCAATTTTACAGGAAATCGGATCAATCTTAGATCCCTTCTCTGGCAGATTCTTGCCAGGTAAACTTGGTTTACTCTAACCTAGTTAAGCACAAATTACTTTAGAGGCCACTTCTTTCGCTGGTGGTGTATTTTCTATATGTTAAGATATCCTCAAACCTATGACTGGACCTGTTGGGATTTTAATGGCATTACATTCGCTTTTTCTATAAGATATTTGCACCTTGAGCTAAAAGATAGGGATTTACCTCTTCTTTTTAGGCGACCAGGTTAGGTATTGATTTATGCAGTCATACTTCTTTTCTTTAGCCAAAGACTCTAGTAGATCGTACTCAGCTTTCTTGTTGGCTAATTTTGGAGAATTTTGAGGAGCATTCCTTTGAGAATGAAATGGGTTGTTAATTTGTGGATTTTTCGGTGCTATAGGTATAAAATTATGGAACTAACAAGGAATGTTATTCTCTAGCTTATTTTAACCCTGGCCCAAGGATAGGCTCTTGATGTTGGTTACCTATAGTTACATCAGCTACGTACTAAAAAGTATGATTTTTGTTGATTTTGTTTTTATTGCCTATAAAAATGTTATACTCTTAATTACAGGTTGATGAGGGATCTTCATTCTAGAGCTAATATTTTCTGCCCCTGATAGTCTGGATTGAATTGATTTTTGATCTTTGATACTTGGGGCTTTGCTGGCATTTTCATACACAGGAGCTAATTTCACCTTGCTTGGAGAATTAGTTATAGTATCTCTGACTGTTTTTAAATCAGAGTTTAGAGTGTCTCACCTTGCTATAAAAATTCATTAATATCTTGAAATAATTTTAAACATAGACTTATCTAAATCTTAATTCTAAACCCCAGAATAATGATAAAACTTATTTTGTACTCACTCTTATCAAAATATTTAACTCCAGAGCCGATCAAACCAATCCTTACAGGACTGTTGTTCAGGGAATATCTATTCTTTCTATTTCCGGTTCTTATTCTTCAACTTTCTCTCCTCTTGGAAAGGGTTCTTGGCCATTTTGATCAAAATCTTATCTGATTTCTTCGGTGAGATGCTTCTTCTGTTGCCAAATTTGATTTTATTACCTTGGTCCATTTATAATTTCAGTTTTATTAATATTTTAAGGGGTTTTGGGGTTTTGGGGTTTTGGGGTTTTGGGG